AAAATAAAAAAACACCTTACAAAACTAAAAAAAGTTATACAAATGTTAATTTATGATAAAAAATAGGTTAATTAAGTAAATGTCGAAAAGTCTTATATTTCTCTATTGTCGTACTGATAGAGACGCCGCTATTACGAGATAAAACTTTTTATTGGCAGAACGCTCCGACACTTTATGAGCTATCTGCCCGGACTATGAAGCTTCGAAAGCTTAGGACTTCGCAATGTTATACCACTAGGAACATTCTAGCACATTCAATGAATTGTTTTAGTACCACCTATTTATGCTCGTGTTATATGAAAATAAGTGTTATTTAATTGGAAATTTTTATTGGGTTTGATAATATTATTTATGTTAATTATCTATGTTTCATATAAATTATAAAGTGAACAAAGTAAAATAATGTAATAAAGTAATACGAATAGGTACATATTTCGGAAACAGTCAATAATATGGTTGCTAAGCGAAGTCCGGCATCATCTGAGTGATGGCAGCACCATCGCGATTATGTCAACACTTGGAAGTCGGAGTGACGGAGACTAGCTGGAGGGGGTGCTAGTGAAGGAGGACACTTTGCTTTGATCCATGCTGAACACCAGTACCACTCTACCACGAACTGTCAGCACTATAATTGTGAAAGTTAAAACATAAAATAAGCAAACGGAGCCACGGGCAAACACCAAGCAGTTAAATAGCTTTCTGCAATTCTGCTCCATATAAACTTAATGTACCAAAGCTCAAATTCCTCCGCACGCACAATATTAAGTGTATTACAAAACAAGTTATTTTACAAATTTTTCTCTTCACACATTAATATGTTGATTATTATTACTAAAATAAGAGTCTAGTAAATAATTCAATGGATTGCTATTTTAAAATATAGAAATATAATAAAACTATCTTTTCAAATTATTTCTCGGATTTATTTTGATTTTTGATTTCCGACGCTTCGAATGCTTTACAGCAATCATAGTAAATGATGATGATATGATGATAAATGAAAATGACCAAAAACCAACATAAATCCGCGAAATAATCTGAAAAGATAGTTTTATTTAAAATGTCAAATATTCGCGTAAATCTAAAAAAGTAAAAGTTCGTTATTTTCGTGGTCGAATCTATCCCATTTTTGTTTCGCCCGTTGAAGAGTTACGACGGGATGACAATACAAAGTTATCTTTCGATTTCACTCACGCGCAAAACTATAAATAAACTGGGCATGTAGGAAACTTTACCCGAATTCACTTCGAGACCAGTTTTTTCTTTCACCCAAATCATTTTTGTTTGATCAAAATATTATTTTTGTATAATCTCATGTGGGTTGAGAAATAGACGTTTAGCAAATATTATGGAATATTTGACTAACTGATATTCATATCAAATATTGTTTCAATTTGAATTTTTATTCTTTCTGTTAACATTATTTTTATGGCACCAATTTTTTTTGAGTTTTAACATTTACCTATTATTATTTTATACTCATACATATCTAGTGCACGATCATATCAACGCCTAGATTCTTTCATAGTTTATTTTTTATTCTTATTAAGTACTAGCTTGATTCCCCAAACAAACTTTCATCCCTATTTTCACCCCTTTAATGGATGATTTCCGGGATAAAATGTATCATATGTCCTTCTCAAACTCTCAAACTATCGTCAAACCAAATTTCATATAAATCGGTTCAGTCCAGATCCAGAAATTACCCCCTACAACGTCACAAACTCACAATCTCACAAAATTTTCCTCTTTATAATATTAGTATAGATGATGTTAAAAATATTTACATACTAAAAACAAAATAAGACATGGAGTCAACAGTATCTTTAAATGATGCAACGTCAGCACATTACAGGTACATTCATATGCTTTTCATGAAATTAACATTGAAAAGAATTTAACAATAAATAATGGATCTATCCCATTCTTTTTTCAATTTACATAAAACTTGTTATTTGTAATATTTGTAATATATACAATATACCTTAATATATTTCATATACTTCTAGTTTTCTCTAATAATATACCCACTTTAGATATACTTAGAGCACGAACTCCGGATTTGATTAAAGTTGGAAACTCGTTTAGATGTAAAAAGTAGCATTATTCCTGAGCAAAATCGGATGTAGAGGTATATTGCTAGCTCAGACTTGACTAAGTGATGTTAGTTAAAATCTTTGATATATTCATGTTTCATTTTCAGCATGATTACCACTCGCTTTATGGTGAAGGAAAACAACGTTAGAACACCTGCATGTGCAATAGAACCTAATTATCTTAACAAATATGAAGTTTGCAAACACGTTGGCTAGCATGGTGGATTGTACTCAGATCCCCCTCAAAATGACGGGATATCCAGAAGTGGGACGTTTCAAAGGGCTCAATTATTATAATAAGCTTCTGTTAAAAGAAAATATCACAACCGTAACATTTTTAATTCGAGCCACCAATGCTCGAGTAATACGAGAGCACTAGGAGTCTAATAGAATTATCGCATATTTTGATACGGATATTATTTGTGCCAGGAAAAGGAAAAGCCTAGTTAACTGCGGTTTGAAGTAAATATTTTCAATGATAAACGCTGTAGGCTATATTTCGTTAAAAGCCAATCTCACGATCTGGAGGAACTGAATACAATACACTGCCAGCATAATGTATATTGTATATGACTCTCTTTGACTTCAGATATTTTTGAATCTCAAAAACATGCACAAAAAGGCCTAGAAATAAGTCGGGCTCTCGTCAGCTTTGAGAGATAACGACGACTAATTCAGATATCACCATTGTAAAGAATGTTCCCGACCGAGAAATTATTTCGTGCATTGTAGATTAATAAATTGAGTAGTTCAATGTTTATTCGGATTATACTGGCTTACCGTAAAATATAATTTTGAGAGAAAAATATATTTGAGCTTCAAACTTGTTTATGAAATTGTGAAATATTTGACTTTAGGCCAGAAGGTATTTAATTATTGTATATTAGACGGCAAAGTTTTAGAGGTAAACCAATACTTACAGTAAATTAAAACCAGATAGCTGAAAAATATAAATATATATTTGGGTATTATTTATGTTTACTTATAATGCTATCTATGTAGCTTGTTTCTTTGAATGGATACAATATTATAGCTCAGAATGAAAAATGCAATAGATTATAAATATTTTATTTTAAGGCCAATATAACAAAAATCGTTCTTAGACAAATAACTCTAATAATTATTACAAATAACTTTTATAGAAAATATTGATACAGCGAAGTAATTTAGCCAATGATAACCCATTTATCGTTTTGATAATACAAATCATGCCAGATATCTTGCTGATAACTGCGGTATCAAGGAGAATCACACGGTACGAGTAGCTTTTAAACTTTAAATTGATATGGTAGATATTTTAACAATCATAATATTGTTATTTAAATATTTGTCTTTTTATTTAACATTATTATGTACATTTATTGTATATATTTATTTATTTTTACTTTTAAAATAAATTGTTATGTCAGTATAATTGCATAAATAAATACAAGTAAAATAACTAACTAATTCATATTTGATAAAAATAAAAATAAAAATTATTTAGTAATAGCCATTAAAAATATTTGTCAGAAGTGGGATTCGAACCCACGCCCTCAGAGAGGACCAGAACAACTCGCACCTACTGTGTAGGCAAGGAAACCTTGAGTCTGGCGCCTTAGACCGCTCGGCCATCCTGACTGTGGCGGTGACTGGCGAAATAATGTATCTAAATATTATAATTTAAATTTAGTAACTATGTATAGAGGTAAAGTTTTTATAATTTTATTTCTATGTAGTTACATAAGATACTTATCAGATTTTGTTATGCCAATATAACTATTAAACTTCATTTATTAAAATGTTTACATGGCGACTAATGAAAAATCGGTTAAGTGCGAATTGAATTCGCACATCTGTGTCTGTGTGATCTATAATTACGAACTTAAAAAAAAATATTTCTTGGATTTTTATGTTTTTATTTTTATTTATTTTTATTATTTGTTGTTGTAGCAGCTATAGTACATACTCTGTGAAAATTTTAACTCTCTACCTATTACGGTTTATGAGACATTTGACAGACGGACGTAAAGCAAAGGCTTAGTTATAGAGTTATGTTAGCAACTTTCGGGTACGGAAGTCTAAAAATGCACATTAGTCTAAAAAAGTTCAGGTAATCGATTAAAATTTATTTAGTAACATATAATATTCTCTCTAAAAAAATGAAAAGCAACAACTTAGTGTAAGTTCAAAAAAATATCGCGTCAAGATTACTTAATCTATTTCTTATTCAGATTATAAGAGAATGTAATTTTCAAATTCCTCAAACAATTTTTGAGGGATATTTGAAGTCATTTTCATAATATAAACAGGGGCGGTTCGTCGCAGCGCCGACGAAAGATATTTTGATTAAAACTTACGGAATACTCTTTCAGATTATGTGACACAAGTTATGAAAATATTCCTCCATGACTCGCCTTTAGACTTCGTTCAAAGTGTCAATTTTTATACTTTTACTCTGGAAAGGCTAACGTCTTTTTATTGCGTTAAGTTCCAAGAAAGAGTGTTGTAGTTGAACTGTAAAATAATAAATTATCCATAAATAATTATTAATATATAAAAAACTCACAATAGAATTCTGTTTACCTATAGTTCTTTAAAATTAATCTATTTACAGAATATGATCAATTTTTTTATATTTATTATACTTAATTGAAGTAAAAGAAAAGTTTCGATATGTTGTATATAAAAATTTTAGAAAGAGGCTCTTAGAGTTTCATCAAAACAATATGGTGAGAAAAAAAATATTATTCTTATGCGACATTGCCTTTCATATAATATAATAATAATAATTAAGCCTTTTTATTTTATTAATAAGATTCAATTTACAATGACAGTACCTACGATTAAAGAGCATGCAATTAATGTATTAATAAAATAAAAATTCTCTTTAAAGAGTTATACAAAAATTGTTAAATAAATTTAATTTAATAATAATATTTCTTTTCTTTTCTTTTCTTTTCTTTTCTTTTCTTTTCTTTTCTTTTCTTTTCTTTTCTTTTCTTTTCTTTTCTTTTCTTTTCTTTTCTTTTCTTTTCTTTTCTTTTCTTTTCTTTTCTTTTCTTTTCTTTTCTTTTCTTTTCTTTTCTTTTCTTTTCTTTTCTTTTCTTTTCTTTTCTTTTCTTTTCTTTTCTTTTATTTATTTATTTATTTATTAAGAAACTCTCCGTAGAGTAAAGGCCTCCTCCATTTTCCTCCACATAGTTCTGTCACTCGTTTTATCAGTCCAATCTTTTCCCGCTGCTTTCAAAATTTCATCGAACCATCTCTCCGCCGATTTGCCTCTGGTTCTCTTGCCTACAGGTCCCTTCCATGAAGTTATCTTTTTGGTCCACCTGTCTTCAATAATAATATTTAAATAATATACCTCATCCATAAACATAAACGTAGATAAACATACGGTAGGGTGATAAATGAATTTATTATGTAGGTAAACTCATAGCTCCACAGATCAGTAATATGTACATATTTGCCAAACATATAGTCTCATGCTGATAATATTATAACACAGAATTGTTGTCCCACTGGGCTTTGAAAATTAGATGAATAGAGTATTTACCTATGTTAGTTAGCGCGCATATTTGTGCACTATAATATCTGCTACGTACGTACCTCGCACAGGCTAGTGTTATTGAGATTTCCACGGCTGAAATCAGTCAAGGTTATTATTAAGTCAGGTGGAACAGTGATGAGACCAAATTATCGCTTTAGCTAACACGGTTTTCTACAAACGATACCGCTAATGGAAAATATAGATGGAATGACTTGCTTATAAATAGTAACTTAACGTAGATCTGATATCCTCATAATACTTTTTCCTTTTCAATTATATAGAATGTTATCTCATATAAGCTCACTGGATATATAACAGATATGTGGATCGACTTTACGTGCTCTCTGAGACGCGCTAGTGTACGTACCACTAACTTTTTAATTCCTTGTTGCTACTAAAAAAATTCTTGGCTGAAACCTGAATTTCTACCTGGCCCGTAACATAACCAAAGAGATCATGATCTACAACCATATTAATTAGCGTAGAAGTTAACGAGACAGTTAAAAGCACATCTCTTTATAAAGATTAAATTAACTGTTGCTTAACTTCTAACACATATTATTATGCATAGTTTTGAGTGAAATGACAAAATAATTCTAAAAAAAAATAGTTTGATAAACAAACATAACTTAATATTATAAGAATAAGCTGGTAATAATCAATGAATGAAATAATATAAAATAAATATCTTACGTCCTCAATTATACCAATAAAGTTTTGAATATTACATTACAACATATTATTATGTAAATCTAAAATTTACATAATTTTGAAGTATTTTGAAGTAATATATCAAATTTACCTGTTTTTTAAGCATTTTTCGTAAAACTATACATAGAAGTATCATAATTTTTAATAATCACGTGATTTAAACATACAACTTACTTTCTTAGAGTGGATTTACTTGTTTTATTATGCAACAGTGATTATTTTTGGACAAAAAAAGAAATAAAACAACACAAATAATAATTAAAATCTCAAGCCCATTACTTGCGCTTCATAAAAAGAATGAAAGATGAAAACCTTTAAAAAAATTATCAATTTAACTTTGGCTTGATAGCGTCAGAGTTCGCGGACACCCTTTGACAGATAGCCTGATTTCATATCGGAACTTTGGTTATGAATCTCTTTGCAGGTGAAAATAGGACTTTATAATTAAATATTTAATCTAACTTTGAATAATATACATACCTTTTTATTTTAAATTAAATAATTTTACATACTCCATGTATAATAAAAATCAACAAAAAACTATATTTTCCAATTCTTTCGTGGATGTATTTTGATTTTTGGTTGTCCACGTTTCGAATGCCTTTTAAAACTTTTTAACGTTTTAAAATTTATATAATAGTAATAATTATTATAGACGGTGTTTACATATTAAAAAAAATGTAAGACCTATATTATAATTTTTGACACGTCAAAATCTTTAGTCTCTCCCGTGATCGTGATTGTTGTACAGTATTCAAAATATCGGGAGTAAAAAAACCTTCCTAATTAGAGCCATGAAATCTCTTCGTTTCAAATTTCTCTGCTCATAAAAAAACTATAATAACAGCTATATGCTTAAAACTTGCCAAAGCCAATAATTTCAACAAACACAAATTGCTGAATACACCAATATTGATTTTAAAGCATGATAACATACCAAAAGTACACGTTTTCTAGTGAATCGTCCATTAGTGGCAATAAAAACTTTTACGGCATGCCGTTTTGCTATTTCATACACACGACTTACTTCTTGTAGTGCTATAAAATATTTATGATGGCTGTTCGAGGACGCGCTTGGTATTAATAATAAATTGTTTTTTATTTCCAGATTTCAGTGTATTATTGGAGCGTAAATTAGAACGTTCACTAATGTCTTAGTGGTAACTGTCTGTGTAGGTTTTGCAGGTTCGATTATTGAAATAATAATGAAAAATATCGTCATAATTCATTATAAGTTCTGGTCTGATCCATACCTCGTATGGTACACCAATAAGGATAGCCTAAATAACTGGTAATGAAGCTTTCTTTTAGCTTAGCAGTTTTAAAGAAATCTCCTAAAAGCAAGATATACATCTTTATAATAATATACAGGTTTTATTTTGTTTTGATTTGAATAGGTCTTTAACATTTCTGTAGTCCATTTTTATATTATTTACTCATTTTAATCTGTATTAATATCACATAATATAATATAAAAGTTGCTAAAGCTACTACATCATTGGAGCATATATCCATACGACCAAATATGTGGAGAGAAGAAAATTACTAAGTTTTATAAGGTAATAATAATTTATTACTATTACTAGCGACTCGCCTTTGCTTCGCTCGGGTTCGTCCCTAGATATGTACCTTATGACGGAATACATAGACTAAATAGTCCATCTATGTATATCTACAAATATAGGTATGATGAGTTTTCTATGCCTTACTTGAGAAATGATTCCACATACAAACTTCCACCCCCCTTTTCACCCCCTTAAGGGATGATTTTCCAAATACAAAAAAAATGACTTGCTAAATAAAAATATTAATAATTTTAAAACAAGAGTAATAATAAACTTGGCTAATTCATCGCATTCCATTAAATTTAAAAAAAAGGCATTCACATCTAGTAAAAGACTTTCTATAGGTACATCAATACCGACAGAAGGCTAAGGTTGTATTCATCTAAATTGACTTATAAATGTTAACTCAAGAAAATAGCTCAAGAGAAATTCTATTGACAAAATGATGCTTTTGAATACCCAGAAAAGACTCATTTCAACTAGTTCAGTGCAAAATAACCATTTTTATTTTTCATTTTCGAACTCCATTCCTCACGTTGAGAGCTTTCAACAAATAATAAAAGACTTGCAGTACATAAATCAACACTACATCTCAGCGGCTAATGGGTTCATAATCTTCTGTTCGAGTACATTTGCTTCTAACGAACTATAAAAAGAAACAAGTTACTGGTTTAAAACTTATAATGCGATCAAGCTTTTTAAATACATTAACTCACTAGCGTCTTATTCTAGCTTCGGGGGCGTCCATCAGAGCTTTTTGTACTTATTTTATACAAGCAGCGTTACCATTTGGCAAATTTTATTACTAACTAGCAGAAACCGCGGCTTCGCTCGCGCTAAAACTACAAAAAATCTCTAAGAAGGTATGTTTCATTCAAACTCTCACCCCCTATTTTACTCCTTTATGGGGTGAATTTCGAAAAATGCTAATACACGTATTTATTTAATTGTATTGAAGAGCGTTAATACCAAGTTTCAAGTCTGATCATATAACTCCAAAAAATATTTGGAGTTGTATTACAACGTGTTTTCCCGTGGGAATGATATAATCAAAAAGTAGCCTATATTACTCTCCAGCCCTCTAACTACCTCCACACAAAAAAATACGCCAATCACAAAAACAAACAAACAAACAAACAAACAAACAAACAAACAAACTTTCACTACACTTTCACGTTTATAATATGAGTACATGGATATATGGATTCTTAACTAAACATGTTACTCCAGATCATAGTCTATCTGCATGTAAAGGATCAAATTTCGCATTAATATAGGTGTAATGATAATATACAAATATAATATACCTATAATGTTAGTGAGATTAGTCCTGTTGAGGGAAGGTCATAGAAAGATAATATAAAAATTATAGAAATAAAAAATCTAACTGCATAATAGCTGACTAAAGAGATGAAAACAAGTTAACGATGGAATAAAGTATTATGTAGTCACAACATATTAGCCTCATCTTGCCACCCTTGCGTCGTGCAGTCGCGTAATAATAATTATTCTCAGGTATACGAACCCAGTTTAAATAAAGCTTTGAATAAATTGAAATCGATGCATGCCCTGAATCTGATATTAAAGAGGAAGAGCGCGTAGCGTTGTCAGTATACTAAATACTAATATTAAATAAATATTATAATATATAAAAATAAATTTTATAAGTACATATTATATTCAATCTTGTTTATTTTATTCTGGTCTAACTGCATCGGTGGTGTAGTGGCTAGCATGGACGGCTGCAGACCAGGAGGTCCTGGGTTCGAGTCCCGGGTCGGGCCAAGTTTAGTTATTGAGTCTTTCTGTATAGTAAGCCTTAGTACTAGCCCGGAGTTGGGAAGTTGGCGGTGTCTTACCCCCGTGCCTCGGAGAACACATAAAGCTGTTGGTCCTGCGCCTTAACTCTCACTGGTCGTGTCGAGTGGTCGTCCCACCAGAGTATGAGAGTAACAGAAATAGAGAGACGCCCCAACAGCTATCCTACCTACGCAGACCTTCCATCCTATTCTTATTCAACACATTATATGTACCTGTATATAAAAACTAACGGTTTCCAAATTATTTATTGATTATACTAAAGTTCGTAAACAGCTATTAAACAAAAAAAAATTAAATCGGTTGACAAACAGAGGAGAAAAGGTACTGAACTGCTTTTTCTTTGCCTATTTATATATACAAGATAAATCTAAAGTTAGTTTACAAGGAATATGGTTAATTTAATTACAATGACTTACTGTAAATCTTGTTATTTTACCATTTGTGTGAACTAAGTAATTATAACTATGCAGTGAGGATCTCAAACTTTCCATTCCAGACCGTTTTCCTTTAATTTTCCAAGTCGAACCCATAGATCCTTTCTAAATTAACTATCAAATTCCTTATCTTTTTGTTTACGAATATTCTTTTGTTTAATTAAAATATTGTTTTTCTAATTATTAATTAAAGTTGTAGTTTTCTAAGTATTTTTCTAGAGTTCAAAAAAATTTAATGAGTTGTCCAAATAACTCTGTTACTACTTATAACTTACCATGCTTTCATCTTACTAATATTATAAACGAAAAGTTTGGGTGTTTGGATGTTTGTTACTCAATCACGCCAAAATGGCTGAGCTGATCTTGATGAAATTTGGCACAGAGATAGATTATAGTCTGAAATAGTACATAGGCCATTTTTATCCAGGAAAAATGTACGGTTCTTTAGATAAAGGATAGATTTGTTTTTGTTTTTCTAGATGCAAAACCGAGCGAAGCGAGTGTGAGCCGCTAGTTTATAATATGTGAAAAACATAAAATTAGTTGATCTATAACATGACAATGTTCCAATCGAACATTAACTAGCACGTACTATAAAGCAAAAAGTGAGAACTAGAATTTAGTAAAATTGGGCCGTCACAAATTTTAAGGAACGACATTTATAATCATGACAAAACAGTAATAAATCTGTACATGACGTGAAACATTTAAAGAGAATGAAACAAATAGAGAAAGGAGAGATATGTATGTATATAAAGAGATCATGGCGCTTGATCCTCCTTTCTATTTGACTAATCCGCATAGTTAAAGTAGTAAGCGCATATGTGTACATATACATACATACATTCATAGATGTGTGCCAAGTGCGGGTTCGCGGACTTCACTTTTCATTTGAGGAATTATGCCAAGTTCAATCAGACGTGCAAGTTTCCTTGCACTGTTCGCACTGTTTCCTGACAACCGTATGGCAAATGGTAATCATATTATGGAAAATGATTCGCACGTGAGACACACATTTTTATATAATTATGTGTTAGAATAGTCATCATATTTTTACGTCTTTTAGTTTAAAATATCTGTATGTATTATAATGAATTAAAATAAATGAATTAAAGAGGCAATAATAATGTGTTAAATAATAATTATTTATTAATTTGATTTATATAAATACGATGGCATTGATGGCAACATTTTTTTTTATTATTAAAAATGTATGTGACACAACTGTCATATTGCCAGGGTGTGAGAGTGCGAGTAATGGTCCAGTGTGTTATTTCATTATTGTAAATTTAAATTATTTAAATACATTAATAAACGAATGCGATAATTGGGCATTTAAAGTGCTATGCCAATATATGTCAAAAACTTCTATTTTAATTGGAAATAATGATATTTAGCTTTTTTTCTTAAAAATATAAAATAATAAACGTAAGTTAGCAAGCACAAACTCAATTTGCCACTAATTAGGTCAACGGAGAAGGGTTCACGGTTAAGGTACTTAAGACGACTTCAATCATTTAACTTAATTGACAAACATCAAGAGAAAACAAAAATGCAAAGTTGCTTGTTTAACGTCTCGCTTATAATTAAGCTTTTAGTTATTTAATATTTTACGACGCGACGCTTTCGTTGGTAAATTAAAGCAGAAGTAAAGAGTATATAATAAATAGCATTATATTATATCTATACATATAATAAAATTCTGTGACGAATCTATACATTAAATATTTTGTTGGAAAATCTTATTGAAATAGTCATTATTATCGATACAAAGACCGAATCTATAGTTTTTTAGATTTTTTGTCTGTTTGTCTATCTCTCTGGGAACGCGAGAAAACCACTGGATAGATTTTGATTAAATTTGATATGATGATAGCTTCATTCAGTCAACATTTAGAATACTCTTAATTGCGGGAAAATATGTCATTCCTGAGAAATCTATACTAACCGTTAAAACGTATCTACGTAGAGATGAACCCGAGCGGAGCGAGGGTGAGCCTACCGACTCACCCGTAATGTAATACGTATAAATATATTATGGAGAACTATGTACGTGTCTTTTTATGTAATTCAAATTAAACAGGGTAATACATCAATGTAATTTTTTTTTGCAGTTTATAAATAGTAAAAATTAAAAAAAAATATTTATAAGTAGCATGTAGCTCAGGCAGGCAGAACTGTGCGAACATAGCTTAGCGTGTATATAAGCCTCCTTAAGACAACTTTCATAATTTAGCACAGTAATATAAGCGAGTACTGATAAGTATATATGTTATATAATATAATCTAAGTAATTGTAGATATTTACGACACTCACATAGCGTACTGCTACGGCTTAATGTTTGTGCTACGTGGACAATTTAACACGATTGCCTTGGTATGTTCCACTTCTGACTAAATATATTTAATTGATAGTAAAAAAGAGATATATTTACGTTAAAAAAAGTTAAAACAATAATATATATTTTTTTTATAATTAACGGTAATTTGTTAGAATAATGCAAGACTTGGAATAAATCGATTCTGTCTACCTTAGATTAATTAAAATAGCCTAAAAAAGGAAATTGTCATAAAAAGTAAAACACCTATATTATGTATTAAAAAATATTATACACTACAAATAATTCTATGACAAAAAATATCATACAGTTTCAGTGTGCTTATAACGTATTTTCCCTTATGGCATATTCATATTCATGGGGAAACCGGTACTAGGTATATTTATCTTATGTGATATGATACTAAAACCTCTATAATTAAATAGATATCTAATTTTGGTTGAGAATAAACTATTCTTCTAATCAATAGCAAATACAAGCTCAACTATATGTAATTGCATTCTGCATACATTACCAAAATTTTTCTACATTAAGAAGTATTGTTATTATATTTTTTAAATAATAATTATTAGGTGCAAGTGGAAGCTACTCGCGTAGCAGGCAGGTCGACCGAGATAAGGCGTCTCTATATAACTCATCGGGCCCATATTTCGGCTCTCAGATTGTATACGATTTATGATTCACACGTTTGCCGCAAGACGTGTTTGGCGATCTCTGGCACTTTTATCGCGTCATGTAATATTTGTTAACAAATTAGAATAAACGTAAGCATTTAGTTAATATTATAAATATTATACGATGTTTGTTGGTTACTTTATAATGTATATATATGGTATAAGTTTTTGTATAAATAAATAGTTTAATATGGAGAGCGAATTGAGCATACTCTGGACAGTTTGAATTACCATAGTTCAAATTAAATGAATTTAAGTATATACAAAAAATGTCATGACTTGAAGGTAATAGCGAAACATTATTGTATTTAAAGAAGCATTGCAATAAATAAAAAAATATTTACTATAATATAAATAGGATAAAATAAGCATCAATTCAATAGTTATTTATATACGTGGTTCACGTAGAGACTATATTTCTCTTATATTTATTACCAACTAATTCTAAATGACATCTTAGATGAGAAACTCTTAAGATAAATTGTAGTCATTATTTAACGTTGAAAAATTCATTTAGACATACCTGCATACATACAGGTGAAAGGTAAGGTAAGGCTACCCACTAAAACCCAACGGAACCTCTTCCGTCTTAATGGGGCATCTCAGATTTTTTTACGTACTCAACCACGACACAACGACGGCAAGTCTGCGAAACAGATCACAACAACCATGAGGTTGCTCCAACAGTCCACCCTACTATCAGAGAAGTATCAGGAGCAATCTGCATGGCACACCACTCACCGAGGTGGGCCGCCTCTTATTATAAATTATATTTCTTTTCGCCAACTAAGAAGACATCTGAATATAGAAACCTTCATAAAAGAACACATTTTTTTTATTAAAGAAATTCTAGCCAAATAAAGTTTTCGATTTTGATCGATACACAGTAATTTACGAAATTAATAAAGACCTAAAAACCATTTTCGTAAGAATACTGTTAGTATTGTACTAAACAAAATATCAAGTAATTAAAGTAATTTTAATTGGTAAATAGAAATTATTGCTCTTCCACTTAGTATTAGTAGAAGAATCGTTCTCCTAATTTTATGAAGTCCTCTAATTCTGTAAGTTCCTTAAGTATTTGTGTAACTTTCGTTACGTGTTACCTAAAATATCTTAGAAATTCCCTCAATTGTAGAAATCTTCGGTGAAAATATACTATAGATTACGACTAGAATAGATTACTATACCTAATATCAATCGGTTCGCGAATACTTTATGAGCCTAATTTCACACAAGAACTTTAAATAGCAGGTTTATTTATATTTTTTGTCTGAATAAATTTTGCCACTATTGTATTACAAAACCGCAAGGATCAATAAATATTTTCAATTCGCTCAGAGGTATAACATCATTAACTTATGAAATCCGAGCCATGACATACTATACCTAATGTCCACCCAAAACTCGAATCTTTGATCATAGATGCTAGCCATTAGACCAACCGCCAATCAATAAAATAAAGCTAACTTATATTGTACTAGCGGCTCACCCTCGCTTCGCTCGGGTTCACCTCTAGAAAAGCACAAACAGATATATCCCACGATGAAAAGTAACCTGTTGCTTGATCGGCAATATAAGGTATCAGTATGCCAAATTTTACGAAATTAGGTGCGTAAGTTGTTGTGTACTAAGCTGTATAAGTTACTATAGTTTTTTGGCTATCCCACGGAAAATCTTTAATTTTCCGGGATGAAAAGTAGCTGATTTGTTTTTGTCATGTATGAAATATATTATTGTAAAGTTTCATTAAAATCCAATTAGTAGTTTTTGTGTACTAAGCTGTATAAGTTGTAATAGATTTCTAACTATCCCACGGGAACTCTTTAATTTTCCGGGATGAAAAGTATCTAAGATGTTGCCAGGGGATAAATTTCATTTAAATCGGTCCAATAGATTCGGAGATTAGCCCGTACAAACAGAAAAACAGACAAACAGCTCGCTCGGGTTCGTACATACCTACGAATATGTTGTATTATCTCTTTAACCATTTGTCCAAATTATATGCAGTAAAAGGGAAAAGTCTTTTGTTTTAAATATTTTA